AAAAATGATCAAATTTGTGAACTCAATCTCTAAGCTGATAAAGGCCTGTGTTAACTGTCGAGATGACACCGTGCTGTCTCAAGCAAAACAACCCTGCTTCAGGTAACGTGTGACTGTGAAGCTGCATTCAACACGACTGTTATTCTGATAGCCTATTGGCGTCTGGTCTTGCAACGCCAGCCTACCTTGTATTTGGTTCAATCTTGTGTCTGCCTGTCGCAATTTTTTGACAACAACGATGACATCCCTCTTTAGCCTACGTCGACAAGTTGAAATGCGCTCTGAAGAAAAGTTAATTAACTCTACCAAGAGGTTTCTTCTGATATGCTCTATTTTAGCCGAATTTTTTTACTAGCTTCTAGGTTTTTGTCCATGTTGATGGTGTCAAGATATATTTGCAACCACCTACGATGACAAATTAAAGCCAGTAAAACGCGCCGACAACTACATCCCAAAATGAAGAAAATTGGGTTCTTAATACTATGAGTGTAGACCAAATAATAGCGGCATGCGCGGATATGAACAACGGCCTTTCTCGACAAACTTACCCTGCACTCTATTGTACTCCAGACCTGTCTTTCCTCACATTTTGGTCAGCCACTTTTACATTACTAAAATTTTGTAGCAAGAAGGTAGATCTCTTAAATAAGAACTGAAGCAATGACATCTCCACATAGACAGATATTATAATATTACATTGGGTTGTACATACTTCCGACACACATTGCTGAATATTTTATCATTACCATGGAGACAGCCTTTTGTTTTGTGTTGAATTTCAGTAGGCCATTAGGCCTTCAATTTAAGATAACATCAGGATGATCACCTGCACACGTTTTGGTAAGAAGAATTAGCAGGCAGTCTTTCTAACACTATCAGGAACTTCCTTGAGTTAAACGTGACCAATAAATACATGTGACTGTTTGCAAGTTGGCATGTGACTATGACCAAAGTATTCCTGTGTTTAGCACCGCATGTCTGGGTTTTGAGATCAAGGTATTTCAAAAGAAGATCTATATGCCACCTAGGGTTTTACACCCAAAGAGTGATCAAATCCATTTTAACATACAGGTAAATTAAGGGCAAGTTAGATACTCTCATGTATCAGTTTGCTTGACCTAGTTTATAATGGTCTATTCGAGTGTAACCGAGTGGAATAGAAGAGCAAAGGTAGCTTCAAGTCAACAGGAAAGAATAAAAAAATAAAAACTCGATCCCACATTAGCGCTATTGAATTCGTACCACGGAAATAAAATTGTTTCCCATTTCTAAACTTTCCTAACCCATTTGTGGAAAATCAAAAAAATCAGCTCTTTATCACGTGTGTGCTTCATATAATGACATCCCTCCCGCCAGTTATAACTCACTACCCACGTATTCTCCTCCATGGCTAGAAAATTGAGGCAACGAACTGTGCTATCTCAAAACCTGGACAGTAAAAATGTTGATCTTTGACACATGAAGCTTCGTATTTCAGGCAGCAAATTTATGTTATTTGATGTAAAGATAAGAGCGCTGTTATTCATCGTAACTAGTTGTCAAAAACTTACTTTAATCTCTAGCTCGTCCTTTCAACTTAAGACACGTTTTCACGCACCTTTACTAATTTTCAGCGTTCACTAGTCAAGAGAAACGCCGTGTATACAAACAATACAAGATTGTCCTGTTTCGGAATGGTGCCGAATCTAATATTATAATTTAGTTGCAGGAAATCTGATGTGGATAAATCTGCTATGAGTCAAGAGTTGATTGCAGCTGTTTATTTTATAAATAATTACTGGCGTAAAAGTGAATCATCGGCCTCGTTATCTCAGTGATGTTGCGAGCATGCCAAAGGACGCAAAATGTAACCTGTCAACTAGTTACATAGCAGCAAAGACTTATCGAAAAAAAGCATCTCTTGAAATAGTCTTTTGCTCAAGAACAGGAGCTTTCAACCTGTCATTGGAGTGATCATTTGCTGTTGTTTCAAGGTAGTCGATAACGTTCCTGGCAAGATCGGTCGGCTAACCTTTAACGACATATGAATTCTTACAGAATTGGGAGATAATTATCTGACTGCTTCAGTAGCATGACGCAGATCAGATCGATGTGTCAACTAACGATATTGAATTTGTTGCACAAATGAGACATATGTTTAGCAATGTGCATTTTATTATTATTATTACCTACCTACGGTTATGACCTTGCATCTCATTACTTTTACGCTGCCTATAAATTCTTCAAACATGAACCTTCACAATTAGCTTTCCAATGATACTGATCAAGCAGCCGGACAACTTTCAGTAACGACTTCTAAGACATGACGTAGATCAGATTGATATATAAAACGTTGCATGGTTTGTATAACGTAGGTAAACTAAATCATGTTGACAATGCTTACAGTAGTGAAACACTTGGTTTTACATTGAAATAGCCATCATTCCAATCGACGTTTCAATTGATACAAGACACATTATTCAGTGGGTAGAATAATTTCACACATCCAGATGACAATCCTTAAAGTAAAATGAGTGCGTGATTTAAATTAGGCGCTTGGTTTTGTCAAGTGAGCTGCTTACTCCAACTACAGAAACTTTCCGTCAATAACAGCAACACGCAAAAACATGTTCCCACACTTTAGAGCATCCAGTTGCTGTTGTTTTCCATCAGGCATTTGAAGCAATAAAATCTGTGGGTTTGAGGTTGTTTATTTACTCATGCTTCATCACATCCAACTACTCAATTTTAAATTGGATTAATTCGATTTGATTGAAAACAATGCAACCCAAGTTTTGGCAACGCCATTCGATGTGTTCTTTGACTATTATGCGGTGCATTTCAAATGGTTCTTCAAATATTATTATTATTATCCGATTGAACGAAGCATTAACAGAAATCGATAGTAATCCACAGTCGCTCAGTGTCAGTTATTTGCGTGCCTTAATAAAGTTAAGCAAAAGAAACATATTACATCAATAGTACAGATATCTGTTTTTAAGGATCCGTAAACGTCGTCAATAAGTCTGGATTCGTGAGGCTCGTTTGGACTGCCTTGGCTGCATACTACAGCTGATTACATCATATACCGATACGCAATAGAGTCCTTTGTGTTAGAGTGCTTACGGAAGCAAACTCCTTATTCGTAACATGCATTTGGGGATCCAGTGATATAAATTGGGTTAGCACAAGGTTGTTCAACCTAGACATGCACTCTAAGACAGTCATCGATTTTCAATATGCCTCTAGAGAACATACGTTACTTTGATTAAGTGCATGTTGAAACAATGACGTCTTTTTAATTATATTCAACATAGTCAATTGTGAAACTGATGTTTATTGCATGTAAATTGTGCTTTTGTTAACTTAAGCCTTATTTCCCCAATATGTGTAATTCGTGTCCAAACTTTGTCAATAATCTTGCATAATTATTTTCTCAGTGCAAACAAACTGATAATTACGACACGATGGTTTTAGTTTGCAGTAGGCAGGCAGCCAATTCGCGTAAGTGATGTGTGTACCATGCCCAAGTGTTCCAATGACAACCCTTTTGTTATTGGCTTCCGCTATCATTCGCCTGCTACGCAGGCGTACTCATTCGCACACAAACCCCCTTGGTTAGTGTGATACTGATAAACGGTGATGTTCTCTGTCGCCTTCTGTCTTCCCTCTCCTCGGGTAGTTACAGGCTGTAAACTGGACGGTTGTAAGCTAGTGCTAAATTCAGACACTACATTTCATGAACCCCTAGGGAATGAAACCACTTTAATTTTCACTCCGTTGATTGGTGATCTCCGTCTGATTTTTACGACTCTCTTTTCTCTTTTTACGACTCTCTTCTCTTAACAACGAGCGGTCCTATTGTTGTATACCTCTTTTCCGAAAACAGCATTTCAGTCAGCAGCATTTTTTTGGGTTATGGGACCTGGGGCCCAGTTTCTTAACCAGATGACTACCTCCCAGTTCTTCATGAATTTACGTGTTGTTACTTGGTTACCGAGAGATATGGCCACAGACGGTATCGACCTGCTTGGAACAATGCTTTTTCAAAACCCCTGTCAACAGTTAAAAGATGTTGTTCTTACACGATTGATCAGCTTGAACAAGGCCCGTCATCGACATCTACTTTCTGGTAATGAACTAGTTGACAGGTCCCATTCTTAACTTCTCCAACATATACGCCTCTTCGTTATGGATATCAAGGTTAATGATTCCGTTCTACGCGAAATGTCAACTAAACACTTCTTGCCACACATGAACACAATTACCTCGTTCCAAAGCTCTAGAGTACATTTGGATAAGCTTACAGAAATGGCTGATAATATCCACCAGTGTCGCACCCACGAAGCGGAAAATTGAACCATCTCCTCTATTGCAGCAGCTAACAGGTAGCCAACCACCCACTGGGATTGGATGAACCATCATCTAGACAGCCTCAGCAAATACAGCGCACCACTTTCCGTGTTCACCAGCCAAGTCAAACCAGGAAGAGAATCGCCCTACCCCCTGAGACCCGTTGTCAGCTTTGCTGATTCAGTTCAGTAATTGTCGAGCGTTTACTGTTCCACAGCTAACACTCTCGTGGGGCAATATTTGCAGTGGACTGGCAGCCAATTCGCCCGAGTATTCCAATGGCTCACCCCATCTGATATTGGCTTTTGTCAACATTCGTCTTTTACGCAGGCGTACTCAAACACACTCAGAACCACCTCTCTAGTGTGACAATATTAAACGGTGATGTTCTCTGTCAGCTCCTGTCTTCCCTCTCCTCGGGTAGTTACGTGCTGGTAACTAGAGGGTTGTAAGGCAGCTCTAAATCTCTGGCCAATACAATTTGCTCGACCCTTGAAGATTTAGTTGAGAAGTTAGGAGGTGGAAATAGTTTCTTACTGCAATAATTAAGGTACAATCGTACTGCTGAATGCACTGGCAATCACTAAATGCACCAAACATTTCCGTTCTAATTAGAATTGTTGAAATCAGTTTACCATTACTGATCATGTTCAGGTCATGTAGTAGCACTAGAGTGCCTACAAATAATAAAAATAAACATAAAGCATTTCAGGCATTAGGCCATTTATCAGATCAATACCATAGTCGCAGGATGCAACTTCTGAGACCACTTTAAATGCTAAAGACTGCTCATTGAACATTTGGCTCCTTAAAGCTAAATGTCTGTGTCACGCATATACCTCTGTGTTCCCTAAGCCAAATGCGACAGCCACATTCATCAGCCTACTAGCTAGAATTTCGCATGCCTCGCAATTTCTGTACTGACAAACTCTAACGCTTACCTGACCTCTAACCAAGAAAGTTCAAAATTGGTTAATCCCGTTAGCCATGGGAAGTATCTGCGTGCGGTGCCATGATTTACATTTAACACAGAAATGCTGTAACTTTACTGCTTTGCATCAACTTGTAATTATGTCCAAATTGAATGCTATGTGGTTTGTTCAGAAATGACTTGCTGTGCAGCCTCGGTCTGCAGTGACTCGCGTGCAAGTACGATAGTGACATACTTGCCATTTTCTTAAGAAGTCAAAAGAAGAAGTTCCAGTAGATTTTTTTTATTTTCATATCACAAAAGTAAGACGCTAGTTATGGTACGTAGATACAGCAGAGGCTTCATGCTGCCAACAGCAAACTGAGCACTGCAGCGTTCAAGATGCCAGCAGCTGAGAGCCTTGTAGAAATCGAAGTTGTTGCCACTGTGGTAGCAGCTGGCTTGGTGCACTGCTTTCGCTCACAGACGTATCCCTCGGGGCATCTACTGCAGCTGGCTCCACGCACATAGGGCTGTTTAGTGCTGACGTCCCCACTAAATGAGCAAATTGTTTGATATCAAATTATCAGAATTATGAACTTGTCTACAAATAGACCGACATCCCTGTGTATTGCAAAATACTACCTTCAGCAGGCAAATAGATAAGCAAAAATGGCCTTAGCTTACATGAACTTCGCATAATTTACTAGATAGCGCAAATGACATGAGGGCATGAAATATGTTTCTGAGTACAGGCAACTTACGTGGGTCTATACAGACACGCCGAATAATATTGGTAGTTTAGCGTATCCCCTTGGTCTCCGCAGCGCTGCTTGGCACAGCCGATTTCACTGGTCTTCGCCCAAACCACCTGGTCAATACAAAGGATAGCTTTTAGACTCGAAATTAACTGCACACAAAATTGCAGTACGTTGCCAACAAACATTTATTTAACATGAGTTTAGTTGAGCAATACTAAGTAAGGCCGCATCATTTCATCAACCTAGCTTGATTTCTTGTTATCACCGAACATTAAAGATAAAGATTAATGACTTGCCTGCTTATAGCGTTCGCACCTGCCTAGGCACAAGTTCCTGCTATAGTTGTATTTGGGCTTTAAATCCCTGATTGTGGAAAAGGACTCAAAAGACCTTGGTTTACCAGGCAAACCACCCGTGATAATATGTCCGAGGCCTTTATATTCCGGCTGCTTCGTTACATCAGGAAAGGCTATTTTGCAGTTAGCCACCCAGGCGTCTGCCAACTTCTCCAATTCAGACGAATAGCTCTGCAAATGAAAAAAAAACATGCACACAGCTGTCAGCTAGTAAGCCTGCAATAACAATTGTAAAGAAAATAAATGTGGACACGATGTGGTGAGTGAAAGGACATCAGTGGTTATTTGAGGTTCACATGAGTCAACTAGATTAACGTACCAACATGAGCATGTTGCTGGCAGGTGGATCTACCGATTCACGCAGCTCAGAGTGCAGGTTCATGAGGTCTTCACGTTCTTTCTCCGAAGGAGCTTCCGCTAACGCATTCCAGAAGAGAACCGCAATGCACATCAACCTCAACATCATGTCTACAATTGAAACAGGCGCCGATAAATGTAAAAGTAATGACACCATGCGTTTAAATGCTAGGTAGTTCACGTACCTAGGTAGATGGTATACTGATGCAGGAGTGAGGCTATCGATGGTTTATATACGGTGTTGAAATCAAGTGGGTGGACTCAACGGCGAATTGGAAAAGGAATTAATTGGTGACAAACAGAGGTTGTCTCGACGTTTCTTGTGGCGAATTTCATTGGTGACAATGCACGAACTACAATCGGAATAAACACTGCTTCCTAATCATGTGATGCCTGATACATGTCTGTTTTGCTGGAATCATTCCAAAACCGCCTTGCAAAACACCCCGCACTCTGGATTAGCGTTTTTATTACACAGAGGTCGATAGAAGGCATTGCTAGCATAGATTGATGTGTGAACGTTAGCTAGAAATGCCGAGATATTAATTACAGGCGCTGAACACAATAATCATTTTGACGAACTTTTGTGCACTGTGATATTTTTCTAAAGATTTCATAATCCTCCAATCGTTTGAAAGCATATCTCTTTATACATATTTTATAAATTGTGATAAGTTATTTTGTCACAAGCAAACCCCTATATAGTCAGCTTTACGCTTGACACTTTATGTGATATTAGACACACCATTCATTGGACATAAATGTCACTTTTTGCATTCAGATATTTGAATTCACGTTCTCTCAAGAGTGTTGCTAAGTAGCAAACGCTAGTTCGTATCTTGGTGTCTGAAGTTCTAGAAATTTAATTTGTCGAATTTTTAAGAAGCCTTTGTAAATCACTCATTTGCAAGCGCCACAGCCTAGTGATTTAGACCAAAACAAGGTACAGAAATATCACGAATGTGTGATTGAAGAAGCGCATTGGCATCGTGCCTGCTACAGGTTGCAAACTGTTAAACATTTTCGAAGTACCTGTGTTAGTGATAGGAATACCGATCAGATGCTTCGTGTAAGGCAGCGACAAATGGTCTTTGAAGAGTGAACTTTGTGAAATCACGTACTTAGAGTAGATGATTTAGGTTTATCACGTTAAAATAAATCGCCTAGCATTCTCATGATAGTGGGATAAAGCAGGACTCGGAAATTTGGAACCTGAGTTTAGATAAATATTTTGACTCAGCACGATCATCCAGCTTCTGCTGCAGTGTGAGGGGAATCGGTTCAAAAGCAAAGAGAATGCATATTTTTCTGGAGCACAAGTTTGTCATATCTGCCATGGCATTTTTCATAAGTTGGAATGCATCTTCATCTTCCTGGGTGATCGTCAGCTTTTTTAGAGTCTGTAGAAACATGCCAGTCAGTAAGCTGAACCATATAGAGTGATTGTCCGGGCTAAGAATTCTACCATAGATGATATAAAATTACTACTGGAAAATCAAACTGCGTCGGTTTAATGGCTGGAAAATTCGGTATTATTACCACTGAAGACACGTTTGCAAAGGTGAATTGTAATGGCATAGGATAAGGACGTGGTCATGCGTCTTGGAATTGCAGCAAATGTCTATTATTACCTTTGAAGGCGATGAGAATATCATTAATTAAGACGATGTCTAAGTTTAGACTTCTCAGGACTTAGTTAATGCATTATTGAAACATCTGTGCTGCATTACGCACAATAAGAGGCCTAGACAAATAGGAGATATGAGGAGTGTGTTGCCGGTTGTCAAATGTGGCAATGCGTAGGGTGGCTGGGTCTGTGTAGTTTAAAGGAACCATGCGGAAATCGGATGGTCAGGGGCTGATGGAAGGGCAGAGTATGCCAAGATGGCACATGAGCTCTTAGTCTGCTTCGACTACTCCCACCATATCTGGAGCAAGCAGTCTGGCTCGATCGGTTGCGGGTACACCCTAACTCACATTACGATGCATGACCACGTAAATCCCTTAAGCGTGGTTGCGATTAAAGAGACGGTTTTCCTTAAAAATTCTTTGAGCGATACGAATAGATTTCATCGGCTTTTTCAAGGAGAATTTGAATGGTTTGTCTGAGGTTTATGTCGAAATAATAGCATTATCGCAAAATTTACGTCTTTTTTAATAAAAAATAGCGCAAAATGAGTCATCAGCTTTGTTATCTCAGTGAGACTACGAAAATGCCTGGAGAGGTGATAATATGACCTGTCAACGAGTTCCAGAGATGTAGGGACGTATCGAAAATAGGCTTCTTTAAATTGGTCGTTTGTCATTGGAAATCTCAGTTGGCTTTGTTTCTAAAAGTCGATGGCCTCTCTGGCAACATCATTCGGCTTACGCCCAACGACATATGAATTCCTAAAGAATTCGCAGATAATTATGTGACTGCTTCTGTAGCATGACACATGTCAAACCAAATCAAAGATCTACCCAATCTATCGCATCGTTTGTAAAATGAGGTAAACGAGGTCATGCTGACGATGATTCCCGTGGTGAAGCAAGAGCTAAAACATTAGCATAGCCATTATTTCAATCGAATTTTTGGTTAATATCGGACATATTGTTCAGTGTGCAGTAATGTCGACATTTCACACATCTACATTAAAATTGTTCAGAAAGGGAGTACGTGATTCAAATTAGGTGTTTGGTTTTGTCAAGTGAGTTGTTTACTGCAAGTACAGGAACTGGCTTCTGTCAATAAGATCAGCACGTAAACACATGTTCCCGCATTTTAGAGCTCCCAGTCGCTGTTGTTTTCCATCACGCATTTGTGGCAATAAAATGTGTGGGTTTGAGACTGGTTATTTCCACATGCCTTATCACCTCCAAACACCCTTTCTGAATTAATCTGATTTGATTGCAAACAATGCAACCCACGTTTGCGCAGCGTAATCCGATGTGTTCCTTGATTATTGTGTTTTGTATTTTAAATGGTTCCTCAAAAATCTAGACTACATTTTGCTATCATATTGAATGAACTGTTAACAGATATTACCTGCACTCTTGAATTATTTATTCCTGCATTTTTACGAAAATAAGTAGCTAAGACAATTTGGCGACTTTGTGTCAGTTAATTCTGTGCCTGAATAAGGTTAAGAGGAAGAAACGAGTTGAAACATCAGTACGGATGTTTGTTGTTGAGGTGTCGTAAGCGCTGCTAGCTAGAATTTTACATGCATCAGAATTTCTGAACTGGCAAAATCTACCTTACAATTAATCAAGAAATTTGAAACTTGGTTAAACCCGTTAGCCATGGGGAGTATCTACGTGAGGTGCCATGATTAACATTAAACGCAGAAATGCTGTCGTACTTGCATCTTTACATCAACTTGTAATTCTGTCCAATTTGAATGCCATGTGGTTTGTTCAGAAATGACTTGCTGCGCAGCCTCGGTCTGCAGTGATTTGCATGCAAATACAATTGTGACATACATGCCAGTTTTTTTGAAAATTAAAAGAGGAACATTCTGCACTTTTTATTTGCATATCACAAAAGCAAGACGCTAGTTATGGTACGTAGATACAACAGAGGCTTCATGCTGCCAACAGCAAACTGATCACTGCAGCGTTCAGGATGCCAAAAGCTGAGAGCCTTGTAGAAATCGAAGTTGTTGCCACTGTGGTAGCAGCTGGCTTGGTGCACTGCTTTCGCTCACAGATGTACCCCTCGGGGCATCTACTGCAGCTGGCTCCAAGCACATAGGGTTGTTTAGTGCTGTCATCCTCACTAGATGAGCAAATTGGTTCATATTACGTTTTCAGAGTCATGAACTTGTCCAAAAATAGACCGACATCGTATAAATTATTACTTAGCGCGAACGATATGGGGGCACGCAATATGTTTCTTAGTATAGGCAACTTACGTGGGTCTATACAGACACGCCGAATAATATTGGTAGTTTAGCATATCTCCTTCGACATCACACCGCTGCTTGGCACAGCCGATTTCACTTGCGTTTGCCCAAACCACCTGATCAATACAAAAGTATGGGTAATTTAGTCGAATGTAGCTGCACACAAAGTTGCAGTAAGTTGCCAATAAACATTCACTTATTATCGGTGTATTTATGCAATGCCAAGTAAGGCCGCATCATTTCATCAACCCAGTTTAATTTTTTGTCATCACCCAACATGAGCAATAAAGAATAATGGCTTGCCTGCTTGTAGCCTTCGCACCTGCCTAGATGCAAGTTCCTGCCATATTCGCAACTGGGTTTTAGACCCCTTATTGTAGAAAAAGACTCAAATGTCTCTGGACTACCAGCTAAACCCCTCGTGATCAGATGCCCAAGGCCTTTATATTCT